GTAATGCTTCAAGGAATATATTTGACCATTAAGAGTAGTGTATTATACTTCAAGATTGTTTTAACCTCTAACTTCTTTATTCAAAACTTTTAGGGAAAGAATTTAATGATGCATTGAAAGATGATCGGACAATGGATGATGATGAAGTGCTCAAAACTCTTCTAGAAAAACAGAAAACAAAGACAGAAACACATCATGATGAATTCTAACAATTTTTTTTATTAAAAACACTAAGTAAATATTTACATATAATTAACACCATAACCTTAGCTTTCAGTGATGATTAAATGACTACCCGGTAGTCCCTTTCAGCTGTAGAAACATATTTCTGACCTGAATATTAGAGTTTGTGTTATTTATTGCTGTTAATTGTTTGTCATTTATACATTATTTAGTTTTTTGTGCTCTTTGACTTATATTTATTCTATTATAGATTCCAAATTTTCTTTCTCTTTTTTTTTCATTGTTTATTTTTTGACATAAATGAAATTGAAAAGATTTTTAATTGTTCTACACTCTAGATCCATTTCAATAGACATTATTTATGTTTTGTAAATTCAAAAGTGGTAATTGTTGTGCAGCTTATTATGAAAGAATAGTTTTGAAAAATTATGATTTCTCTGTCATTTTATACTTTCGGAGATGGTCATGTGATGTTCCTCACCTAATATTGCTTGATTATAGAATTGCTTGTCCCATGTCTGTGAATAGGGGTTTTCAAAATGACCCAAAACACGTTTTAAAAGGTCCAAATTTCATACCCTTTTCACTGTTAGAAAACTAAAAGATCACACACCTTGAACTCGCACCTAATCTTGCGATATTTGAGCTTTCTAACCCTTCAGAGTAAGCACGGATTGGTCATATGCCGTGATCGCCCGCGATCGCTGGTCGCTAACCAGGGGGCCGGACGTTTTCCTCGTTTTTGCAATCATTGAATTTCTTAAAGCAATAAAAAAAACGATAATCTCATTTAAAAAATAACCACCCTTATCACATTGGCAGTAATGGAAAAAACACCTTTTTGTCCATTTTGACTGAAATGGTAACCCTAAACGCGTAATGCACGTTAACAAGCTTTTCTTTAAAAAAACACCCTTTTAACGCGTTTTCTTTCACAGACATGCGTACCAGATCATTCTTTAAGTTGCTTGATGCAATAACATCTTGAGCTGTAGTATCCATTCACTTTCAGTTCATTAATAATACAACCCATACCATCAGTCATTTCAACCATTTCTATGAACAAATGATATCGGGGGATAATCTTATAGTATTCATCACATGGGACCTGTGCTGTCATGTGACAAGATAGACTAATCAGTACTATTCAAGGCAGGTTGTTAATGGTAACCAGTGGTTAATATCAGTTTAACAGATTGTATAAATGCTCCATTCAGATTATGTATATCGGTAATACCGTAATTGATCAGTACATGATCTTGTGGAAGTAAATATTATCATGATAGAATACTGTAGAATACTTTATTTTCGTTTGGAATTAATTTTCGCTATTTTCGCTGAAGGAATGATTCAGTGAAAATAAAATCCAGCGAATGTACCTTTTTTCTTATATTTTACATTAAACTTGTCAAAAATCAGTGAAAATAAATTCCATACAAAACACCTGAAAAGTCTTTTCAGCAAAAATTAATTCCAGCTAAAATAAAGTATTTTACAGTATTCTCGATATGATGACATTTTGGCCAGTACTTTGCAGCAGACTATTTCCAAATTGTTGTCATTAAGTATATTGTACACAATTCTCTGTGTATATTGATACTTTTTTTGTCCACTGCTTGCTACAACTACCGGTAGATAACAACATACTGTGATTTAGATGAAGAATTCTGTTACAGTGTTTCCAAAAATGATCACCTGGACTAAAAGATGTATTTATCTTTTGCTGAACTGGGTGCAGTGTGACCATGTTACATTATACTGAGAAACAAACACTCTACACCATGAGTATCAGATGTCTATACGTGGTGTATTATAAAAATGGCATATTGACCAGCAGGCCATATTTGTGAACAACTTATGTTGCCCTCAAGTCGGAAAATTGAAAAATTGGGTCGGTTGGTCGGATTTTTTTTTTTTTTTTTTTTAAACTCGTGAAAACTAAGGGTATTGTAAATAGCCGAGGTATATGGGGAAAAAAAACACGACACGATATTTCATATTTTTCAGTCGGTCGCTGAGGGCAACAAAACAATTTTTTTTTTTGGTCTAACATACATCTGAATTCTCGAAGGAATATGAGTTTTCTGAATACCAGCAAGCTGAGGGAAATATATACTCTTTGTAGTAAAACTATGACATCATTTCTCTAGCTTCATTGGGGTCTTGGAACTATTATGTAAAATAATTGATGCTGTGAACTATGGGAAATATTTCAAATCATTTTCAAATGAAATTTACCCGTAAACAAACTAGCAATTATTTGATAAAAATAAAACGGCTCCTATCATTTAGACATATCATACCGAATAATCATTATAAATTTAATGTTTACAGGTATTAGGTACATATTTCTTACAACTCTGACAAATTCAGACATAATACATGTAATCACAGAATCATAATAAGCTCAGTGCATCATCTTAGAATATTACTCCAGTGTTTTTACAATCTGAGCAGTAAACTATGACAAGTTTACCTGTAGGTCACATGATCAATATGCTGTTGTCCCTGAAGTTGACAATGTCACATTGTGTGGTTGTCCTTGCTCTTTTCAAATGATAAAAATCATCATTCTGTTAAGGGGTCCTATAATTGTCAAACATTGCTGTGAGAAAGCTTCATTTTGCAGCCAAAAAAAATTAAGACATTAAACCAAACAATTGGATTGGAACCTATATGTTAAATTAAATTAAATAGAAATATACATGGAAATACTGTAAATTAATTACGTTAATTATTGACTGTGTTTTAATATCACTATTTTCTTGATTAATCAGTGAAATGTGCTAAATTAAATCAATGTGAATGTGTAAAATGTTTCTTGAAATCATTGTTTTCTTTTAAAACTTGTGAATTTAAATCTGTTAATTCCCTCAAATTAGTATATTACCAATGAAAATTATTGCTTTTACCATAACTGAATAAAATGTAATACTTGTTTATTTCCACCATCATGGTATAATCAATTTCATTTTTATTTGAAATAAAATTTACTATTTAAAATGAAATAGTTTGTCATTATTTGCTGGCTGTTTAGTAATGATAATATGATGTATGAATTAATCTTTGTTTTTAAATAGAAGCAATAGTGATTCTATAAATAATACAACATGGGTTGATTTGTGACTTCTATTTTTCACAAAAAGTTAAACAAACACCAGTGACACTGGTAATGCAGAACAGGGAACACTAAAGATCAATGATTGTCAGTTCAACCAAAGTATGTGCTATACACAAACACGGTTATTGACATTTATGGTGATTGAAAATTTAAATGGTTTCAAAATTGGTGAAAATCGGTATTTTTTTCCATTCCGATCTCAATTTTGTCTCTTAAATACAATTAGATAAATGTATGCCATGTTACATATTCACTTCGTAAGAGGTATTTTAATGACAGAAGTAGATATATTTAGCAATATTCTTCATGTGGAAAGTAATAAAGAAAGTAAAAAATAAAAATAAGTTGTCAATCAAACGCACATGTAACATTTTGGGCCAAATTAGTCAGTTCACATTGGTGGATAGGATAATATAAATTCTACTTCAGAAAACTTAAATTTAAACAGATATAGACACAGAATTCAAATCGTTTTTATTCCAGTCACTGGCGATATTAGATCTACTTGTGAACTTTTTTTGCTTGCAATTAATTTTTGTTATTTTCGCTGAAGGAAGGAATGACTTGTTAGCGAAAATTAATTCCAGCTGAAATAATCAGTATCGGTACTCATTTTTACAATACATGATATTAATCTATAAAATAACACTATAAACATTTAGATTTAATTTAATAGCAAAGTATTAAATAAAGCGCATTTATACAACTGCGTAATAAAACCAACCATAAATACTGCTACTACACAACTCAGTAACCTAGGAAATGCAAATGGTTGAAAATTTAAAAATTGGTTGTCATGGTATTTACATTTTCCACAGCTAGGAAAAGTTGTGTTATATTACTTCTTGTTCCCCCAGTATAAGTTAAATGGCCAGCATTTCCCAATATATGTGAATAGATTTCCTTTCAATTCCAATTGTCAGTCAACCCTTACTGTCACCCCCTCAAAAAAAATGTTGGAGGGGGTGTCACCCCTCCAAAATCAAGCTGAAACCTTTCGTGTCAGCAAAATTTGCCCCTCAAAATGCAGAAACATCGTTTCAGAGTCTATATTTCAAATTGTTAAAGGGGGAGCATGCCCCCTGACCCCCTTGTAAGGTCGCGCCTTCGACGCAAGGTTAGTGAGCAGATCTCGCCCCCTTATGAAAAATTTTGTGCCGCAGCCTCTAATGAGGGTTTTTCGATGATGAAATTTCTACAGATTCAGACTTGATGCTCTGACATGGACGTCAACTATGATGTTGACCTCAAGACAACGTATATATTTTCAATCTGTGACATACAAACAAACAAATAAATAAATAATAGTTTTGAAACAAATAAAAACATAAATTTAATATGCCACATTAGACTGGTCCAGTCGTGGCAATTATGTATAATTACCAAACGAGAAATTTTATAAATTTGCTTTTAAATAAATTATCACATAAGACAATAAAATTGCAACAACTGTCCAGGTGAGCTTATACCTATTAATCTACCGGATACTAAATCTAGGTCAGAGATCAATAATTAGCATATTGGAAAGTTGCGGAAGTTGGTGTCCGTCCGTTTGCCTTAATTCCAGTTTATAATCCTTCGTGTTTCTGGTGAGTGATCACTCAATTTGCAGAAAGACTTGTCACAAGTA